CCCCCCCCCCCCCCCCCCCCCCACGTGTCACCGTGGAAAGTCGGAAATTTCCAGTGCGTGGGGCCGGGGGGGGGCAGGATGCTGGGGGGGGGGCAGGATGCCGGGGGGGCCCCGCGCCCTTATAACGCCCGGCCGCACCACCGCGCCCCACACACCACAATGCGAGGTACGGGGCAGGCGTGCAAGGGGAGGGGGTGTGCAAGGGGTGTAGGGGGTTGCACAGGGCTGTGGGTGTGCAGGGGGGCCTGCGAGGTGGGAGGGGGGGGTGGGAGTGCAAACGGCCGGGGTGGGATGTGTGGTGGGTGGGAGCGTGCATGGGAAGGGCAGGAGTGTGCAAGGGGTGTGTGAGTGTATGTGCAAGTGTGCGTTGGTGTAAGTGCGAGCAGGGGGTGCGTGCAGTCCTGCAGAAGTGAGGGTGAGTGTGCAAGGTGTGGCTGCTGCAGGTGTACATGATTTGAGTGTGCAACGTGTGGGGACTGCATCCATCTGTGCAAGTGTGGGAGGCGTGCAAGGATTTGTGCAAGTATGCAAGCAGCGGGTGCCGGTGAGCACAGAGGTGTGTACGTGCCGTCCTGCAGGAGTGAGGGTGAGTGTGCAATGTGCAGCTGCTGCATGTGTGCACACTGTGAGTGTGTAATATGGGGAGAGCATCTGAGTGTGGGAGTGTGCAAGGGTTTATGCAAGTGCACAAGCAGAGGCGGATCAGGAGAGTGGAGGCGTGTGCATGCAAGCTCACAGGAGTAAGGATGATTGTGCAAAACGTGGCTGATGTGCACAGTGTGATTGTGCAACCTGCGTGATTCTGCAAGTGTGGCAGCATGCTGGTGCGTGTGTGTAAATGTGTGAGTGTGCAAGCAGTTGGTGCTGGCGAGCATAGAGGTGTGTGCGTCCAGTCCTGCAGGAGTGAGGGTGAGCGTGCAACGGATGGCTGCTGTGCTTGTGCGCAGAGTGAGTGTGCAACATAGATGTGTGTACGAGCGTGCAAGCACGGGAGTGTGCAAAGGCCCGTGCAGGTGTGCAAGCAGTGTGTGTAGGTGAGCGCAGAGCTGTGTGGATGCGATCCTGCAGCTCCGGCTGTGCAAGGCGTGCTGTGCTCAGTGTGCACAAGTGCAGGGAGCCGTGCACGACACGCGCGTGTGCAAGGCTGGTGCTGCGCCCCGTCCCCGCTCCCCCCCGCCCTCCCAGCCCCCAGCGGTGCCCCCACGCGGCTCTGGGGCCCTCAGATGTGGTCGGGGTCGGTGCAGGTGGCGGGGATGGGGACACGCAGGTGGCACCGCGCAGCAGCCGCCGTCTGTCACCGTGCTGTGTCACCATCAGCACCGCGGTCCCCGTGATGTCCCTGTGATGTCCCTGTGTCCCCGCCAATGTCCCCGTCTCCCCACTGATGTCCGCATACCCTCCTGGCCCTACGTCCCCATGTCCCATTGGTGTCCCCCTGTCCCCACATCCCCGTGTCCCCATCCCACCAATGTCTCCATATCCCCCTGCCCCTGTGTCCCCATAACTCCTGTCCCTTTATCCCCTCTAATGTCCCCATGTCTGCGTATATTCCTGTCCCCATGATGTCCCCATCACTGTCCCCATGTCCCCATTGATGTCACCCTGTCCCCACTAATGTCCCCACATCCTCATGTCCCCATCTCTACTAACGTCTCTATACCCTCCTGCCCCCATGTCCCTTTATCCCCACTAATGTCCCCATGTCTGCATATCCTCCTGTCCCCATGTCCCCATCGCTGTCCCCATCGCTGTCCCCATTGCTGTCCCCACATCCCCACAGCTGGCCCCATGCTGGGGTTCCCTCACTGCAGCCACCCCCACACCACGTCCCAGAGACCCCATTGTCCCCTCCTGACCCCGCTGTCAGCCCTGTGCCAGCACGGTGGGGACGCTGCGGTCCCATGGGTGACGTGGGGGAGCAGGGGGTCCCGCGGTGCCACTTCCTCACTGCATCGTGGTGTGCTGGGACGTGTTGTCCCATGGCGTGACGTGTTATCCCGTGTCCTGATGTGTTGTCCCATTTTGTGCTGTGTTGTCCCGTGCTTTTACATGTTGTGACATGTTGTCCCATGTTCTGACGTGTTGTCTTGACGTGTTATCCCATGTCCTAACATGTTATCCCACGTCATGACAACTTGTCCTGTGTCGTGACATGTCCCATGTCATGGCGTGTTGCCCCTTGTCCTGACATGCTGTCGCATGTTGTGGTGTCTCGTCCCGTGTCTTGACGTGTTATCCCACGTCCTACAGTGTTCCCTTATGTCATGGCACGTTGTCTCATGACGCGCTGTGCCGTGCCCTGCCATGTTGTTGTATGTCATGCCGTGTTTTGCCGTGACGTGTGGGGCAGTGCCGGGATTGGAGCGTGGCTCTGATGTTGCTTCACTGTAAGGTCAGTGGGTGCCTGTGAGGCACTCGAGGTCCCCACAGGGCTTATGGGAGCTATGGGGTTCCCTGTAGGGCTGAGTGGATTCTGAGGGGTCCCCGTGGGGCTGCTGGGTGCTATGGGGTCCCTATAGGGCTGAGCAGATGCTGCTGGTTTTCTGTGGAAGCTATGGGGTGTCACTGGGTCCCTATAGAGCTGCAGGGTGCTATAGGGTCCCTGTAGGACTGATGGGGGCTGTTGGTTCCCCTTGAAGCTGTGGGGTCCTTATAAGGTTGTGTGGTTCTTTTGGGCTCCTTTCGGGCTGTGGGGTGCAGTTGAGTCTCCACGGGACTGATGGGTTCTATGGGGTCCATATAGGGCTGAGTGGATTCTGTTGGGGCTGGAGAATGCTGCTGGGTCTTCATGGGACTGATGGGTGCTATGGGGTCCATATAGGGCTGAGTGGATTCTATTGGGACTGGAGAATGCTGCTGGGTCTCCATGGGACCGGTGGGTGCTATGGCGACCCTTTAGGGCTGAGCTGATTCTGTCGGGTTCCCCATGGGGTTGTGGGGTGCTGTGGGATCCCTGTGGGGCCAGCAGGGGCTGTCGGGTCCCCGTGGCAGCGCCGTGGGAGCGCTGGTGCCGCCTGTGGGGTGAGACCTCACCGACCTCTCGCTGCTGCTTCCCGGCAGGAGTGGCCCCAAAACGGCCCCGAAACGGAGCGGCGCTTCCCGGCAGCGGCGGCGCGTTGAGTAATGCTGGGCTGAGTCAAACGCCGCATTCCCATCGCCGCGTGTGCGTCTGGGTGTGCGCAGGAGTGCGCAAGGACACACGCGTGTGCGTGCACCAGTGCGTGCAAACGCGCGCAAGCGTGCACAACGCCGTGCAAGGGTGGGAGGCGTGAGTTTGCAAACACTGCTGGGTGTGCACAGCCCTCTGCAAGCGTGCAAGAGCGCGTGCAAGGCACGCAGTGACACTGCGATGGCCTCGGGGCTGGAGCTGTCCCCCATCCCCGTGTCCTCTGTCCCCAGTGTCCCCATCCCCAGTGTGCTTCAGTCACCCCACATTCAATGTCCCCATCCCCAATGTCCCCCACTCCTCCCTCCTCATCCCTGGGTGCCCCCAACCCAAATGTTGTCCCCCTCCCCATTGTGCCCTCCCCGGTTGTCCCCATTGCCCCCACCTCGCTACCCTCACCCCACTGTCCCCTCCCTGCTGTCCCCCTCCCCATTATTCCGCTCTCCATTGCCCCCTCCCCATCCTCCCCTCTCTGGTGTCCCCCTCCTCACGGCCCCCACCCCGCTGTCCCCCCCCCGGCCCCCCACCTGCTGGGTGTCCCCTCCCTGTGCCGGTCCCTTCCTGCCCCCCCCCCAGGGCTGTGTCCCAGTTGTGGCTTTGCCGCTGTTCGCTGTGGTTTCGGTGTTGCCGTCACCGCGCCCCCCCGGACCCCAACGCCCTATGGGGCCCTATGGGGACGTGAGGACGTGGGGACAGTGACCCCACAAGGGTGAGGGGCACGGGGGGGGGAGGGGGGATGTGAAGCCCTCGGGAACTTTTGGGGCAGTGGGGGCACAGGAGCTGTAGGTAACAGTTGGTGACACGTGAGCCCAGGGGTGACACGTGAGGCAGTGTGGGGACACGTGAGCACACGAGGGAACGTGAACCTATAGGGACCATGAGAGCCTATAGGGACTGCGTGACCTTATAGGGACTAGGCAACCTCCTAGGGACTGCATGAGCCTAGAAAGACCATGGCATTCTTTAAGGGACCATGCACTCCTGTAGGGTCTGTGGGAGCTCATATGGGAACCATGTGAACCTATGGGGACAGCATGAACCTATAGGGACCATGGGAGCCTATAACAGATGATTTATGACCCTATAAGGGACCGTGGGATCCTGTGGGGATGATGGGAGCTCATATAAGGACTGTGTGAGCCTATAGGGACTGTGTGATCCTATAGGAATTGTGCAATCCTATAGGGAGCTCATATAGGGATCATGCAGACCTGTAGGGACTGTGTGAGCCTATAGGGTCTTTGAGAGCTTGTCTGGGCAGCAGGTGGGCCCGCAGGTGACACGTGAGGTCCCGTGGTGACACGTGGGACACGTGAGGTCCCACAGTCCGTGTGACATTGCGGGCACCACGCATGGTCCGTGCGGTCCCCACGGGTGATGTGTGAGGGGACACAGGAACTAGGAGGGTTACACGTGAGCTGTGGGGACACGTGAGGCCGCAGGGGATGTGGGGTCCTATAAGGACCCTGTGAGATTCCATATGGGCACCGTGAACCCATAGGGGCCCCACAGTTGCTTTGTGAGTCGGTAGGAGCCCAGAGATCCTATAGGGGCCCTGTGAGCCCATAGGAGTCACGAGATCCCATAGGGAACATGAGACTCTGCATGGACCCTGTGAGACCATGGTGGCTGGGTGATCCCATAGGACCTGACCCCCAAACTCCCCCCCCCCCACAGCCCACATCGAGGCGATCCCCTGCAAGATCTGTGGGGACAAGTCCTCGGGGATCCACTACGGCGTCATCACCTGTGAAGGCTGCAAGGTGAGCGCTGGGGGGGGAAGAAGTATGAGAGGGGAGGGTTGGTAATTGGGGTTGGGGGGGTCTCAGGTGAGTGACCCCCCCTCCCTCATCCCCTTCTTTGCAGGGTTTTTTCCGACGCAGCCAGCAGAGCAGCCTGAGCTACGCCTGCAGCCGCCAGCAGAACTGCCCCATCGACCGCGCCAGCCGCAACCGCTGCCAGCACTGCCGCCTGCAGAAGTGCCTCCGCCTCGGCATGTCCCGTGATGGTTTGTGCCCCCCCGCCTCACCTCATGGCTGCACTGCCCCCCCCTCCCCTCCTTCCCCCCTCCCCGTACCACTGGGATCATCCCCCCCCATCTCCCAGTGCTGGCTGTATACCTGTAGCATCAATGGGTGCACCCCTATAGGATGATCACTGGGATCATCTCCCCATCACTGGGAGCCCCCCCCGTATCACTAGGTGTACCCCCCCACCTTACTGGGTGCGCCCCTCGTCAGCAGGTTCCCCCCCTCCCATCCATCTGTGGGTGCACTCCCATATTATGGGATGCCCCCCATCGCTGGCTGCCCGTCAATATCACTGCATGCAGTCCTTATTAATGGGTCCCCCCACCACTGGGTGCCCCCCATATCCCTGGACACCCCCTCAGTAACACTAAGTGCCACTGCCCCCCATCTGTGGGTGCCCCGTGATCCCTTTGGGGGACACCCGGTGATGCTCAGCCTGAAAGCCACACGTGTGTCCTGTACGTGAACATGGCTGAACACGCGTGTACATCTGCCCCATAGCCGTCAAGTTTGGCCGCATGTCCAAGAAGCAGCGGGACCGGCTGCATGCGGAGGTGCAACAGCAACTGGAACAGCAGCAACGGGACCGGGACCGGGACCAGGACTGGGAGCGGACGGCCCAAAGCACACCCAGCTTCACCATAGGGCTACCGGGTTGCCGGGGCCACCCACTGCCCCCCAGCAGCCCAGGGTGCCCCAGTGCCACAACGGAGGGTGAGCGGAAGGAGATGGCGACGCGGGACAGGGATGGAGATGGGGACGGTCCTGGTGTGTGCCCCCACCCCGGGGTTGGGAGCATCCTGGAGTCACCTGCATTGGAGATAGGTGAGCGGTGGTGGCACGGGGCTGCAAGCGTCACCCAGGGGTGCTTGGGGGCGTGGGGACATCACCGTGTCACCTGCAGGTGCTCAGTGGGTTCAGGGCCAGGCTCCGTCACCCGTGGGTGCGCAGCACTAATGGGATCTGGCTCCATCACCTGTGGGTGCCACATCCTGGTGGGACCCAGCTCCATTCACAGTGGGACCTGGCATCTTGGGGACCGTGTCCTCGGCCCTCCCCCATCCCTGTGTCCCCATGATGTCCCCACGTCCCCCAGAGCTGCTCACACAGAGCGTGCTGGCATCGCACCGTGAGACGTGCCAGCTGCGTGCCGAGGAGCTGCAGCTGCTCCGCAGGGAAACCTTCAGCCGTGAGGAGGTCTGCGCCTTCCAGAAAAAGGTGAGGGAGCATCGCGGGTCCCCACTGGGGGGGTAGCAGTCCCAGGGTCTGACTGGAGAGCTGACAGTCCCCAGGGGTCCCTTTAAGGATGGTGACAGTCCCAAGGGTCCCACTGAGCAAGTGATGGTCCCCAAGGACCACTCTGACCTTACTGGGGAGGTGACAATCCCGTGGGTCTGACTGGAGGGGTGGCAGTCCCGTGGGTCCCATTAAGAAGGTGTGACAATCCCGAGGCTCCCACTGGGGAAGTGACAATCCCTAAGGGCCACTCTGAGCCCCCTGGGGAGGTGACAGTTTCCGAGGGTCCCGCTGGGGAGCTGACAGCCCCCAGGGATGGCTCTGACCCCGCTGGGGATGCGTCCTGGGGTGCCGCAGCCGCCGGAGGAGATGTGGCAGCGCTGCGCCTGCCGGCTCACCGAGGCCATCCAGCGCGTGGTGGAGTTTGCCAAGCGGCTGCGCGGCTTCATGGAGCTCTGCCAGAACGACCAGATCGTCCTCCTCAAGGCGGGTACGGGGCTGTGCCCTGTCGTTATCCCCTGTTCCCTGCCCCCCTGTTCCCAGCCCCACGGCGATGGGATGCTCGGGTCCCAGTGGGAGGTGGCAGCCCCTACAGGGTGCTCTGTTTCCACTGGGGAAGTGACAGTCCCCAAGGACCACTCTGACCCCGCTGTTGAGGTGGCAGTCCCAAGGGTCCTCCTGGGGAGGTGGCAGTCCCAAGGATGCCCGTTTGGGAGGTGACAGTCCCCTGGGGTCCCCACTGGGGAGGTGGCAGTCCCCAAGGGCTGGTGCCACAGGGACACAAGCTCAGCCCCAAGCTGCGCTGCGGGGCCCGTCCCGGTGCCACCGTCGCTGTCCCCATCCCGGTGGCGATGGCAGGCGCCATGGAGGTGGTGCTGGTGTGGATGTGCCGGGCCTTCAACCCCGACAACCGGACCGTCTTCTTCGAGGGCAAGTACGCTGGCGCTGAGCTCTTCAGGTCGCTGGGTAGGGCTTGGGACAATGGGGACGCTGGGGACATGGGGACGTCTTGTTATGGGACTGCTAACAAGGGTTCCCACAGGCTGCCCCGAGCTCATCGGTTCCATCTTCGACTTTGCACAGAACCTCTGTGCTCTGCGCTTCTCAGAGGGGGAGGTGGCCCTTTTCAGCGCCATCGTCCTCATCAATGCTAGTGAGGGACATGCCACCCCTGTCCCCGTGTCCCCCCTTGGGGTGTGCCCAAACGGCCCAAGTTTTATCCCAGAGTGGGTGCTGGGTGGTGGGCTTGGGTGTTCCCATCACGTACCACCATCTCCGGTGCCATCCAGAGGATGTCACCATTGGCAGCCCCATGTCCTGTCCCCAGGGCTGTCCCCTTTCCTGTCCCGTTGTCCCCAGTGCAGTACCCATCCCATGGTCACATCCCCATCACCAGCCCTGCACCAACCTCATCCTGTCCTTGTCCCCATCCTTGGCCGTCCCTGTCCCCATCCTGTCCGCATCCCTATCCATGTTCCCCCCATCCCTGTCCCCATCCTGTCCTCATCCCTATCCATGTTCCCCCCATCCCTGTCCCCATCCTTATCCATCCCCATCCCTGCCCATGTCCCCATCCTGTCCCCATCCCCATCCCACCCCAACCTCACATGCAATGTCTATGTCCCCAGCCCGCCCATGGCTGCAGGACCCAGGGAAGGTGGCCCGGCTGCAGGGACGCCTGGAGGTGGCCTTTCGGCTGCTGCTGCGCAGGACGCAGCGTGAGGGGCTGCTGGCCAGGGTGGGGACACGGGGGGGGTCACAGGGGACAGGGTGTGGGGTGCTGTGGGGCATGGGATACTGTGGGGTGCTATGGGATGCCATGGGTGTCTCATGGTTGTTGGGGTGCCATTGGGGTGTGGAGTGTAGGGTGCCAGAGGTCGTGGGGCCATTGGGGTGCCACGGGACATAGGGTGCCATGGGACAGAAGGCATGGAATCCTTGGGATATGGGGTTTCATGAGGAGCGGGTGCTGTTGGGGTGCTGTGGGACATTGCAGGGCATCACGGGGTGCCATGAGCGTGTCACGATCACTGGGTGCCATGGGGATGCCAAGGGACACGGAGTGTGATTGGTGTATCCGGGCCATTGGGGTGCCATGGTTGGGTGCCATAGTGGTGCTATGGGGATGTCCTCAGTGTCCCACACTCGTCGTTACCCCCTTCCCCCCCCAGCTGCCGCCGCCGGGCCGCCTGCGGGCGCTGTGCTCTCAACACGTGGAGCAGCTGCAGACCTTCCGCCGCCTGCGTCCCGCCGCGCCGCTCGCCGCCTTCCCCCCGCTGTACCGGGAGCTCTTCGCCCCCGAGCCGGAATCCCCCGCCCCCCGCTAAGCCCCGGCTCAACCCCCCTGCTTAACCCAGGGGGCACCCATGGGTGCCGCGTCGCCCTCCGGAGGCTGCAGGGGAGGCTGCGAGCCCCCCCGGCTGGGAATAAAAGGTGTGCTGAACGGAACGGCGTCTTCCGGGGTGCNNNGGGGGGGGGGGGGCGGTGGTGGGGGCGGGTCGCATCTGGTGTGGGAGGGGCGTGGGGTGCCGTGATGGGCTGTAGGACATCGTGGGTTGGACGCAGATGAGCCTATAGGGCGCCGTGAGACCCCCTCAACCTCCTCCTCTCCCGATCTCGCTCTGACGGCCCCCTGCTGCCTTCAGGCCCGGCCTCTTGACACGCAGACCCCTCCCCACGAGCACAGCCCCCCCCTTGGACGTCTCCCCCAGATTTAAGCAGCGTCCGTGGGCCCGTTAACAACCCCCCCCCCCTCCCACGGCAACTCCCCTTCCCCGCAATGGTCCGCTCTGCCCCCGGGCCGCTCGCTGATTGGCTGCGAGGAGCCAGCCGGCGGCGCCGATTGGCCGCTTTATTCTCAGGGCAGGCGTTCGGCCCCGCCTCCCTTCCCCACCGTGCTGAGAGCGGATTGGCCACAACCCGGCGGGCGCCGATTGGTTGAGAGGAAAGGAGATGAGGTTTTGATTGGGTGGATGGCGGGGAGGGGCGGGGCCTGAGGCGGCGGCGGGCTGCGTGAGGAGGCGACGCGACGGATCCGGGCCTGGTGGGGCCTGGCGGGTCTGAAGGGCTCGGGGAGCCCGGAGGCCCGGAGGTTCGGAGGCCCGGAGGTTTGGAGGCCAGGGGGATCCGGAGGGCCGGAGATTCGGAGGGCCGGAGATTCGGAGGCCAGGAGGTCCGGAGGCCCGGAGGTCCGAAGGCCCGGAGGTTTGGAGGCCCGGAGGCCTGGAGGTCCGAAGGCCCGGAGGTTCGGAGGCCCGGAGGTCCGGTAACGGCGCTGCGATGCCGTCGGAGCGGAGCGGCTGGGCCGGGCTGAGCGGCCTGCAGAAGGTGGCGGTGCTGCTGGGCCTCCCCGCCGGGGCCACCGTTCTCTACATCGTGTACCGGCGGTACCGGGAGGGCCGAGGTGGGTGCCCCGAGCCCTCCGTGCCCCCCCCGAGCCGTACTCCCCTTTCCCCCGCCCGTGCCACCCTTCCGCCCCTTCCCTCCGTACTCTTCGCGTTCCCCCCCGGGCTGCACCATCCCTGCACCCCCCGGTTGAAGCCCCACCACCCCTCCAGAGCTGCACGTACCCACCGTTGGAGCGGAGGAGCTGCGGGCGGAGCTGCGCGTCCCGCGGGCGGCGGTGAGAGCCATCATCGGCCGGAAGGGAAGCACCATCCGAAGGGTGAGAGCCGCTCCCAAAAGGGGGAGGGGGATGAGGGGGGGCGAGGTGTCCTGGGGGGGGGCGACTTATGGGGTGCCCCACGCAGCTGCAGCAGGAGACGGGGGCCCGCATCGAGCTGGAGGGGGAAGGTGACAATGAGGAGAGGCTGCTGCTGATCTGGGGTTCCCCCAGCCAAGTGTGCAGAGCCAAAGCTGCCGTGCACCAGATTGTGGTGGAGAGCACGCCGGTGTCGGAGCAGCTCCACGTGCCGCAGAGAGCTGTCGGGAGGATCATCGGTGCGGCCCCGATCCCTTCGAGCAGCCTTCCTTAGGGTGAAGGCACGGTGAGAGAGCCCTGGCATAAATCCCCCTCCCCACCTCTTGCTTCTCTCTGTGTCTCCCAGGCCACGGCGGTGAGACGGTGCGCAGCATCTGCCGCAGCTCCGGAGCCCAGGTGCAATGCCAGCACCAGGCTGAGGCCATGCTGGCTCCGACGCGGCTCATCCAGATCTCAGGGACGCAGCGGGAGGTGGATGCAGCCAAGGTGAGCGCTGGGGCAGCCTCCCAGGAGCCCCCCCCAGAGGGCTGATGGTACGAGACCCCCATGCTCTCCTCTTGTTTTCCCCCAGAAACTCATCATGGAGAAGCTGGTGGAGGATGCAGTGTTCCGCCAGGAGCTGGCTCAGACCACAATGCTGTGGAGCCACCGCCAGGAGCCCGTGGGCAGCCAGAGGGAAGCATTGCTGCAGCCCAACGGGGAGCACAATGTTGGGAATGGGGGCTCTCTGCCAGGGGGGGTGGCCATGGAGAAGCTGCAGGATGGGAGTGAGGCAGTGGAAAAGCCGGCAGCGGTGCCCAAATTTGAAGGTGAGTGGTTCTGGTACTGTCCTTTAGTTGCAATGAGGAATCTGTGCTGGGAGGGAGAAGGTTTTTCACACCTCACCAGGCCCCCCAAGCTGCTGGGCTGTCCCATGGTGAGGGAGGGCTTTGTGGCTCTGGCTTGCTCCCTCCTGTCTCACTCAGGGTGCCCCACGATGCGTCCTCGGGTGGGATCCATGTGTCATAGAATCATGGAACCATTTAGGTTGGAAAAGATGACTGAGATCATCCAGTCCAACCATCTGCTCATTACCTCTGTCCCCTGCCGGTTCCTGCAGTCCCCAGCCCCGATTTTAGCTTCCATGCAGATGAGTACCTGGAGGTCTACGTCTCAGCTGCCGAAAACCCCAACCATTTCTGGATCCAGATCATTGGTGAGCGCAGCCTGCAGCTGGACAAGCTGATCTCTGAGATGACGCAGCATTACGAGGGCAGCAACTGCGTGGTGAGACTCCCAGGGGGACACCATTCTCATCCTCCCTCCCCTCCTGGCACTGGAGGATGTGGTGTACTGTGTCTCCGCAGGCAGAGCTGGCAGCTGTGCAGGCAGGGGACATCGTGGCTGCTCCATATGCAGACAGCAACAATTGGTACCGGGCCCAGGTGCTGGGCACGTTGGAGAATGGCAACTTGGACCTCTACTATGTGGATTTTGGGGACAACGGGGAGGTGCCCCTTGAGGCTCTGCGAGTGCTGCGGTGAGTGTGGGAGGAAGGGGAAAGGAGGCAGCGGGGCTGGGGGGATGTCCCCAGGAGGGCAGTGTGCAACCCAGCGAAGCCATGAAGCAGGATTTGGGCTGCCCCCGCCCTCAGCCTGCTGCTTTCTCCCCACAAGGAGCGATTTCCTGAGCCTGCCCTTCCAGGCCATCGAGTGTAGCCTGGCTGGGATCGTGCCTGTGGGTGAGTGCAGGTGGAGTGCGGGTGGCTCTTCAGAGCCCGTGCCTCTCCTGGTGCTGCTCATCCCCCGGCCCTCCCACAGGGGAGCAGTGGGACGAGGCAGCGCTGGACGCTTTTGAACGCCTCACCTGCTGCGCCCAGTGGAAGCCATTGGTGGCCAAAATCTCCAGCTACACCCAGACCGGGCTGTGCACATGGCCATGCATCACGCTGTTTGACGTCCACCATGGCGAGGTGAACCCTGAGCCTCACTGCTCCCTTCCTATCCCCCCACGAGGATTTGGTGTCCTTTATCTTCCTCTCATTTCCCCACAGAGCCTTGACATTGGGGCCGAGCTGGTGCGGCTGGGCCATGCTGCCCTGCAGCCCCACAAGGAGGAGGAAGCAGGGGGTGGATTCCCACTGCCAGTGACAGAGGCTGCAGTGGATACACCGGTGAGCAGAGCTGCGATGGGACGGGGGACAGCAGAGCTCTGATGGCATCTTTTCTCTCCCCAGATTTTGGCTTTGGGTCATCCCTAGAGTCGGGAGCTTCACCCTTCTGCCCCACGTTGTGGGATTAACACGACTCTTCCTCCCAACCCCCTGTGCAGGAAGACATGGTGTGCACCTCCCTCGAGAGCCTCCTGTCTGAGCTGCCACCCAGCCCCAGCGCCACACCACTGACCCTCTCCTGCATCAGCCTGCTGGGTGAGCTCTGTGGGGCTGACCCCAATTCCAGTAACATCCCTGGGTGCAAAGGGGCTCATTTGGGGTGGAAGGAGACACAGAGGATGCCCCCCTGGGGGCTGCTCATAGTCCCCCAGGGCCCTGGGAGCCACTGAAGCTGTGTTTCTTGGTCTCCAGGCGCTGAGCTCAGTACTGGGGGCTGTGCAGAGCCCCCTGCTTATGTCTCTTTCCAGCTCTGGTGTGGGCACCTGTAAGAGCCCCAAAGGGCTCCATGAGCCCTGGGGAGCACAGTCTTGCAGCGAGGTGCCATGCGGAGCAGCAGCAGGAGCTGCGGGGCACAGGGCTGAGCTCTGCATGGGAAGCAGTGCCTGACCCCCGCCTGACCCGCCCCCTCCTTTGGCCCATAGATGAGAGCCCTGAGCGGCTCCGGGGCAACGCAGAGCCCCCAGCCCCAGGGCTGCTGCTTGGCCCTTCCACTTCCTCACAACCTCAGAGGGACGACAGCGAGGCCCAGCCCAGCCCCAGCTCCTGGTGCCCCACAGTCCTCGGGGGTCCTGGAACCCACCACACCGTGACACCTGAAGCGCCGCGTCCAATCGCCTGGACTGGAGCCTTTTCCACCAGCAGCCACCCATCCCTCTCCGATGGGAACTCCGATTCTGTTTTCTGCACCGACTCCATGCACTACACCAACTTCTGTGGCTTCTCCAGCAGCGCCCAGCCTGGGGCCAGCCCCTTCTCCGGCCCCATCCCCATCAGCTCTGGAGGTGAGGAGGAGAAGGACAGAACCCCACAAGGTATGGCTGCCCCATGGTGGCACGGTAGGGCTGTACCTCTGTGCAGGTGGCACTGTGTGGGTTGTGACACTGCTGTGGGGTTTGTCACTGTGCAGGAGGTGCCTCGGTGACCGGCAGCAGTGACAGCACGGTGCCAGAGTGGAGCTCCCTGTGATGCCCTGACCTCGGTGAGCCTCACCGTCCTCCCTGTAGAGCTTCCTCCCTGCTCCTGGGGCTGGAAATGGGACAGTTGGGGCACAAAAGGGGGGAATGTCACTCCCACCCTGCCTCCAGAGTGGGATGACCCTTTGTGGAGGGACGCTGAGCAATGCCACCACACAGACGTGACCCCAAAGCATCGGGGACAGCGGCTGATGGTGTGCACAGACCCCACAGAGCCGTTTCTACCCCTGCTAGCCACAGTGTTGGATGCATTTTGAGAAGCTAAGTGCCTGCCCCGTGTCACAGCACTCCCTGCATCGACAGCCCCAGTTTCACCACCGGTTTCATCTCCACACCGATTTTGGTTTCCAGCTGCCCTCTGTAACCAGTGCAGGAGACAAAGCCGGCTCAGGTGTCCCCAAATCTCACCAGGGACACCTCAGCCCCTTTCTGGAGGCCATGTGGGCACTGCTGTGTTCACAGGGCCGCTCCGTGCCTCGTTCCTGATGTTCCCCGTTGGCTCGGTGATGCTGTGGTCACCGTGGGGGTGCCTTTCACGTTGTTGTCTCTGCACCGTTGCGGTTCGGTTCTTGTTTTCACCCCGCTGAGGGGAAGAGCTGTTTGGTTTCCTGGTTGAATAAAGCCCAGAGGGCACTGAATGCAGGGTGTGCTGCTCGGTGCTGCGGGGACAGATGGCGTGGGGGAGGGGGTGGGGATGGGGTGACACCCCACGTTTCTCCTTGCGTGGGGAGGAGGGGGGGGGATTTGAGGCGAGACCTCTTTGTGCGCAGGCGCAGCGGGCAGCTCTTTGCTTTTCTGCGCAGGCGCGTCGCGGGCAGCTCTCTGTTTGCTTTTCTGCGCAGGCGCGCAGCGGGCAGCCCTGTGCGGGGTCCTCAGGGGTCCTCGGGCCGGGCCGGGCGCCGCCATGTTGGGCCCGCTGTGGGCGCGGGGCTGCGGGCTGCTGCTCGAGGCGGCGGGGCGGGCCTTGAGCCTGAGCCATGCGCGGGTAAGGAACGGGGGGCAACCGGGAGGTATCGCGGGGGGCGGTTCTGGGGTCTGCGGGGGGAACGGGGGTGAGGAACGGGCCGTAACGGGACGGGGTCCTGGGGGGGCGGCGGGAGGGAACGGGCCGTAACGGAGCGGGGTTCCGCCGTGGGCCGTTTCCCCACGCAGGACACGGTGGTGGTGGAGCGGTGGTGGAAGGTACCGCTCAGCAAAGAGGGGCGGCCGCCCCGCGCCCGGCACCGGCGGTACCGCGTGTACCGGCTGGTGGAGGACGGCAAACATCTGCCGCGCGGGGAGCTGGAGCTCATCCTGACACGGGCGGTGGAAGGTAGGCGGGGGGGGGATTGGGTTGGTTTGGGGGAGGGGTGAGGGTGGGGGGCACCGTAGCGACCTGCTGGTCAGCCGTGGGTTCGTCTGATTGTCGGCAGCCATCGGCCAGCCAGGATCCCCAGCTCCTCCTCTGCAGAGCTCCTCTCCGGCAGCTCAGCCCCACTTCGTGCTGATGCTGGAGTTGTTCCACCCCGGGGGGGGGGGGGGGTTGGTTGGACTCGTCCACGCCCCCATAACCTCTTTCTTTTCAGAAGAAAATGTGATCCATTGAAAAACAACCAATGAAACACCATAAAGTTAAACGTGAACGCACCGTTTTCTTTTAGATCCGCTCCTCTGAGTGTGAGCTCGCTGCTTGGGCAGGAAATTCGATGCCCAGACCATAATTTCCACTTGATTTCTGATTTCTCCCCTCTGCTTTTTGCTCTTTTTCCTTCTGATTTTTACTTCTCCCCTCTCATTTCCATTCTATTCGCTATTTCTACATGCTGTCTCAGTGGGATTTTGGATGGGGTTCGGGGCTCCCCTCCCCCAGCAGGATGTGGGGCTCTGCCCCTCGTTGTCCCCACAGGTCTGGGGAGGCGTGGGGACATCGTTTCTGTGAAGAAATCCCTGGGTCGCAACCGGCTGCTGCCTCAGGGCTTGGCTGTGTACGCATCGCCCGAGAACCGCCGGCTCTTTGAAGAGGAGAAGCAGGTGAGCCACTTAACGAGCTGCTTCATTAACCGCCCTGCTGTTAATTAGTTAGCAAAGGGGTGATGGTTTGGGGGGAAGGGACAGCTTCAGAGCATGGAGAGCCTCTGTGTTGGGTTTGTACCTGATCTTTTTTTTCTTTCTTACTGCAGAACCAGGAAGGGCAGATGGAGGCCATCCAAACGCAGAGCGGGGAGAGGGTGAGTGTGTGGGGGTGCCCCATATCGACCCCCCCCCTCCCTCCTCTCCACCCCGATCCTGCCCCATACTGATCTCTGCCCTCTACACATCGATTCCTGCCCCCAAATTGACTCTTGCCCCCCACGCTGACCCCTACCCCGTGCCAGCCAACCCCCCTGCCCCATGTTGGCTCTCAGCCTCATCCTGATCCCCACACCTCATCAACCTGCTGCCCCACACCACCCCCTGCCCCACAGACCCTGCAGTTCCTTCGGAGCTGCCGCCTGGAGGTGGGCATGAAGAACAACGTGAGCTGGGAGCTGAACGCTGACATCGTGGCACGGAACTTCCTCAAGAATGTGAGTTGTGCCCTCGGAGATGTGGGTGCTGTGTGGGGTGGAGGCTCCGTGTTCTGTGGGGCTGCTGGCTTCAATGAAAGCCTTGAGAAGATGGAGGGAGCGGGATGCTGGTCCGTGTGTGCTGCCCTCTGACTTCTGACCTGTCGCAGCTGCGGGTTTCGGTGCCGCCCCATGCGCTGAAGCTGCCAGATGAGCCCATCACCCGCTGGGGCGAGTACTGGTGTGATGTGACGGTGAGTGCACGACACCCCACAGCCTCCCCATCCCCTGCCCCATAGCGTGGGAGGTGTGGGGAGAGCCCCGTAGCTGTGCCAGAGAGGAACCCACAGTCCCCTTGGGAGGGGCTGGAGGGGAAGATTTGGGGTTTTTCACAGAAAAAAAAAAACCAAATTCCGTCCCTGTGACCTACATACATGCAGAGCCGCCCCTCTGTGCCATCAGCTGTTGTCCTTCAGTTTCTGAGGGCCCCAAATCTGTGTCAGCACCGTGGGGCTCATTAGGGTCCTGCTAATTGGAAGTGAGGGGCGAGAATGGGGATGGCGATGGGGAAGGGGCTGCATTTCCCTCACTGCATGTGTCCTGCTGCTCCCACTGGGTTTGGGGGCTCGGTCCTGCCCCACAGCAGGGCTCGGGGTGATGCTGCCCTACATCAGTAGGATTTGGGGGGATGGGGCCAAACTGTTTCAGTGGGATTTAGGGGATGGGGTTCCCACCCCTCAGTGATATTTGGGGAATGGAACTGCCTCACATCAGTGGGATTTCGGTGGGATTCAGGGGATGGATGTCCCATATTTCAGTGTGATTTTGGTCCCCTTGGGGATTTTGGGGCAGGGGAGGAGGAGACTCCTCCCTCCATTTTTTAAGGCCTTGCTTCAAGGAGAACCGAGACCCCTGAGTGGAGGGAGAGGAGTGCCCCCATCAACAGCAACATGTAGGGCTGCTCTCAGCCCCCCTCCCTGTCTGCACCCCACAGGTGAATGGGATGGATACGGTGCGGGTCCCCATGGACGTGGTGGAGTTCATGCGGCCGCGGACGAAGCGGCGCCGGCACTGGCAGGCACAGCAGGCAGCACTGCTGGCAGCGCGGCGCGAAGAGCTGCTCTGACCCCACAGCCCCCTCCTTTTAGGGTCAGGGGGATTTGGGATCCCCCCCCTCCCCCCCACTGGAGCTGTTCCCCATCGATCCGCATCCTTGCTGAGTGAATAAAAAGGGTTGGAGTGTGAGGCGGTGGACGTGGTTTGGGGGCTGACTCCAAAGGCATTTGGAGATGATCCCAAATGGGTTTTCAGCAACTGACTCCAAAGCAGGGCTTGGAGGTAACCTCAAAGGGATTTTCAGGGGCAGACCCTAACAGGGTATTGGGAACTGACCCCAAAGGTGAGCAGGTTGGGGAGGGGGGGGAGAAGACAATCCTAAAGTTGGGGTTTGGAATGCAGTCAGGGGTGGGGTGGGGTTGGGGTTTTAGGGCCCCATAAGGCTCAGCCCCACTGACAGCACCACAGCCCCAGCACTGCTGCAGGACACACAGGACCACAAGCACCAGGTTCCTGTCACTGCTCTGTCACACGGGGGGGGGGGGAGAGGGGGAGTGTCACCATCACTGTGGCCGCTGTGGGGTCTCCAGCTGATCCCAAATCCTCCGTGGCAGCTCTGGGTCTGTGAAGTACCCTGCAGTGGATGGGAAGGCCGTGCTTTGTGGTACCGTCCCCAAATGGATCCCTGCACTTTGGTGGCACTGCTCCCAGGTGGTTCCCCCACACCCCTCAGTGTCACTGCCCCTGGTGCCACTGTCCCATCGTGGATCCCCCACACCTTGATGTCCCTGTCCCTAAATGGTCCAACCCCCCCATACACACCTTGGTGGCGCTCCCCCCAGTTTAGGGGTGCTACTGTCCCCCTAAAGGGATTGGGTCCTGCTGTGCCACTGTCACCATTCCTCTAATGCATCCCCACTGTTTCAATGGGGTCTCCTTACACCCTGGGGGTGTCACTGTCCCCTCAATGGCTGTGGGGTCCCCTGATGTCTCCCCCCACCTGCAGCGAACTCCAGGATGTTGTGGGGCCGTCGCAGCATCACCTCCCTGCAGCGGGGGGGAAAGGCGGTCACCCCAAAAGGCAGTGGGGGGTTGGAAGGTGACCCCAAATGGGGTTTGAGAGGGTAGGGTGGGGGGGGATGGGGGTTCAGAAGGATTGTGGGAGTTCGGGGACGAATCTGGAGGGGGAAATCTGCTGGTAAAGAGGCTGTGCTGTGGGGTGGGAACGGCAGAAGCCATCGGGGGGCGGTGGGTTTCTGTGGGGCCGAGGTGGGGGCGGCCCATAGCATTGTGGTGTGGGGAACCACCCCGAGGGTTGGGGTCTGGGAACGGGGGGGGAGGAGTAGGTGGGGGTCAGAGTTAGGAATGGGGTCAGAGGGGAGGAAATGGGATCAGGGATAGAGGAGGGGAGGGGGTCGGGGTTGGGATGAGGATGGGGTCGGGTTTCGGGGTCGCACCTCAGCAGCCCCCGCAGCAGCATCACCACCTCCGGCCGCTCCCGCAGGTACCGCTCAACGGATGGGCGCAGGGACGGCTGCGGGAGACGGACAGACAGACACACGGACAGACAGACAGACACACGGACACGGATCACCACGCCGTCCTCCCCAGGGTCCCCCCTTCATCCTCCCCGCCCCGCCTCCGCCCGCACCCCCCGCTCCGCTCCCGGTGCCTCCGGTCCCGGTGCCGCCATCCCGGAACGGATAACGGCGTAACGGCCCCGCCGGGTGTGACGGTGCGCGTGTAACCACGTGACTGCGTGTCACTGCGAGTGTGCAACGGCGGGTGTGCGACCCTATTCCTGTGTAATGGGTGTGAGGTGTGTGGGGGGTCATCGTGTGGGTGCGCCCCAAAACCGCCGTGTGAGGGTCGTTATGGGGCTTTAGGGTGTGAGTGTGCAATAGGGTGTGTGTGCAACCGTGTGTGTGTCACTGCGTGTAGCTGTGTGTAGCTGTGTGACTGTGGGTGTGCAATGAGTTGTGATGCTGTGAGTGTGCACTGGGGGGGGGTTGTGACCCTACAGCTGTTGTACTGCGTGTGACGAGTGTGTGTGTGATGGTGTGACTGTCACTGCGTGTGACACCGCGTGTCACAGCCTGTGTCCGTGTGTCCACACTGCCACGTGTCTGTCTGTGTCCCATCTCCATGTACCTACGTGGCCGTGTGTCCCCACGTATCCATGACCATGTACTTCTGTCTGTCCCCGTGTCTGTGTTCCCATCTGCTTCCACGTCTGTCTGTCCATGGCCATGCCCTCATGTCCGTGTGTCTGCCTGTGTTTCCGTGTCCCCAGATCCCCACACTCCTGTGTACGTCTGTCCGTGTCCTCTTGTCCCCATGTCCAAGTTTCCATCTTTTCCCATGTCTGTCCACATCCCCATGTCTGCATCCTCATGACCCCGTGTCCATCTGTCCGTGTCCGTTAGTCCATTCCCTGTTTCCCCATGCCCATGGTTTCCACCTGTCCCCATGATATCTGTCTGTCTGTGTCCCCACGTCCGTGTTGCCACGTGTCCCCGTGTCCGTCTGTCCGTGTCTCCATTCCCCCCCCCCCCCCAGCTCCGCCCCACCGGCGCTCCGCTCAGCACCGCGGACAGCGCCCGGGGTGCTGCGTGTCCCGGCGCTGTGACGGTTCCACGCGCGGATGCCCCCCCCTTCCCCCCCCACCCACTGCCCCCGGTACCCCCGACCCCATTCCCGTTGTTTGCCATTTCCCCATTCCCATCCCCTATTCCCGTTCCCCCTATTTCCCATTTTCCCATTTCCGT